TTTTATTTTTAAGATACCTAAGATATCTAAACTCTATGTAAACTCTATATAAAAAAAGAGAATAAATATAACAAATATAATTAATATTGTTGTTTGTGAAACAATGTTTTTTATCATTCTCATTAAAATAACATAAAAGATGAACTAACTTCTACATTAAATATAAGTGAGATTGCTCTCTATGTTACACATGTTCTATTGTGAGTGCAAAAGGTGTAACAATCTTATGTTCCACATACACTAAGCAGCTGCAAAATAAACTACTCCAACCCCAATCCCCAACCCAACTTATTCCAACTCCGAAGTCTCAATGCATGTCGTGTGACGTTAGGTTAGATATACTCGCTCATTTGCGGAGTTCGCGGGATTGTTCGCCGGTAGGACTGGTAGGAGTCACAGAAAGGATTGAGAAGCTCGCGAAGATGATGTTAACCAAGACATCTACCTAAACTGCATCGAGACTTCGGTAAGTTGCGAGATCGCATAGTGATCGTCCGGACGGCGCGGTATATTTTCGGTGAGGAGGGGATGGGAGCCATAACCTGTACGCGTACCTGCGATTTCGATTTTCAAAATGGCGTGCCAAGTGTGAGAGACAAGGCATGGACTCGTCATCGTTGTCGCGACTTCCTGTTACTCTGTTGTTGATCGTTGAGTCGCGAGCACGTGTACGGTGCTGCTCGCGTCAAGTTGCCCTCGTGGAGGAATAATTATGCCATCGCTCGCGCGCACGGCGTAGGACGTAGGGAAATTCACTTCTTTCACGCATTTTCTTTTTTTTCTTTTTTCCCTTTCTTTCTTTTCGTTTTTGCTCCTTGATGGAAATCCCGATGGAAATCTCGATGGAAATCTTCTTAACGGCGTTTTCCGTGATATTCAGTTTATTAATAGTGTTCCTCCTTGTTGTGATAGGTAAGCACTCGTATCAGAGCGCTGATACCTTAATCATGACGTCTTGATATAATTACGTCAGGAGAAAAAAAACATGTGGATTCAACAGCATGAGTTTCTCATTTTTTTTTGTACTCTAGGATTTGCGTACTAGTACTGTAAATGCGATCGTATATAGATACCTAATTGTGTTCTAGTATTTTGTAAATTTAGTGCGACACTCATATAGAGCTCACGTTGTATGTAACGCTATTAGTGATCAGCATATTGTTTTGCATTATGTCATCATGCTTTACATATACATTTACATTTAGTGGACAGTAAAGAGCTTGCTAATATACTTAAGCACTACATTGTAGAATTTTATATATATGTAATAAATTTTACAAATTATAATTCTGACTAAGAATCTAACATACATGATTAATATGCTTGCATTATTAAGACATTAAATTGAACAAGAGATAAGAATACTCCAAATAATTATAGCGAATTTGATCATTAGCATTACTAGATTAATGTATTCTAAAAACTGTTATACATGAAATTAGAAAAATTAAATGCAAAGTTAAATACACAAATATAAATATTTTAAATTGATATTTTTACATTAACAATATATACATTAACAATATATTTAACAGATTATACTTGTATTATTTCGTTGTTAAAGTTAATTTTGCTACTGCATTATGCTACTGCATTTAGATATTTTATATAAAGCAACTTTAATATGCACTAATTTATTATATGCTAGTAGACTGAATCTATCATTAATCTGAATTATAAAATACTGAATTATAATATATGTATTTTAAGTATTAAATTATAGAATTTTATATATATATATATACATATAAAATTTATAATTTGGGCTAAGAATTTGAAATACATGATTAAAATAGCTTAAAGCGCTTATATTATTAAGATGCTGTTAACTTGAATAAGAAATAAATGTAAATATATTTCAAGTTTTTAATCTGAATTAAAAAACTTACTCAACATCATGCTTACTTCATTATTATTTTGTTTTTATATAATTGCATATTATATTTATACTATGATTTCTTTTTCAGGTTGGTACTTAGTTTGGACGTTCTTTCTATCACGGTTCCGCTTTGTGAGAGAGTTAACGGGGAATGGAATGAGTGAATCGTCGTCGGTTAATGATTTGAAGAATGGTCGTGCACGCATAAAGAAACTTCGTCGTGACTAAATATTGAACAATATATTGAAGCTATCGTTTATAATATTGATAATA